CACTTTTTTAATATCTTTTTTCTTTTCTGTTTTTTTTTTTTTGCTTGCATTTTTTTTTTTTGGCTTTTTCTTTGATTTCTTTCCTTTCCTTTTTTTTCTTATAGTAGTTTGTCTGGGTTTTTATTTTCTCGTTTCAAGGTTTTATGCACACGTTTGGGTTTCCCCCCCCCCTTATTCTTTTGTCTTCTTTACTTTCTGTTGGTTTCATTTTTATCTTCTAGTTTAAATGTTTCAATTAAAAAAATGATATACAAAAATGAAAAAAAAAAACAACCGGCCCTGGGTTGCTTTTTGAGGGGCAATTGAATGCAGGACCCCTAATTTACTTCCATTTCTAGGGATCGTGAGCCTCCCGAACAGGCAGCATAACTGGACCGAATTTCTGCAGAGGGCAGGTAAAAAGGCATACGAGCATGAAATCTTCCAGAATTTTTCTGAACGCAAATGTCTTTCTGTTTGGAGATCTGGGAAGGAAGGGAAGCAAGAGGGAAGAGGGGAAGGGGAAAGAGGGGAGAGGAGTGAATGGAAGGGGAGAGGAGAGGAGAAGAGGAGAGAAGAGAAGAAGGGAAGGGAAGGGAAGGGAAGAGAAGAGGCAAAGGGAGAGAGGAGAAGAGAAGAGAAGAGAAGAAAAGAGAAGAGAAGAGAAGAGGGGAAGGGAGAGAGGAGAGGAGAGGAAAGGAGAAGAGGGGAAGGGAAGAGAAAAGGGGAAGGGAAGAGAAGAGGAGAGAAGAGAAGAGGGGAAGGGAAGGGAAGAGAAGAGGAGAGGGGAAGGGAGAGAGGAGAAGAGAAGAGAAGAGAGGAGAGGAGAGGAAAGGAGAAGAGGGGAAGGGAAGAGAAAAGGGGAAGAGAAGAGAAGAGAGAAGAGGAGAGAAGAGAAGAGGGGAAGGGAAGGGAAGAGAAGAGAAGAGGGGAAGGGAGATAGGAGAAGAGAAGAGAAGAGAAGAGAGGAGAGGAGAGGAAAGGAGAAGAGGGGAAGGGAAGAGAAAAGGGGAAGGGAAGAGAAGAGAGAAGAGGAGAGAAGAGGGGAAGGGAAGGGAAGAGAAGAGAAGAGGGGAAGGGAGAGAGGAGAAGAGAAGAGAAGAGAAGAGAGGAGAGGAGAGGAAAGGAGAAGAGGGGAAGGGAAGAGAAAAGGGGAAGGGAAGAGAAGAGAGAAGAGGAGAGAAGAGGGGAAGGGAAGGGAAGAGAAGAGAAGAGGGGAAGGGAGAGAGGAGAAGAGAAGAGAAGAGAAGAGAGGAGAGGAGAGGAAAGGAGAAGAGGGGAAGGGAAGAGAAAAGGGGAAGGGAAGAGAAGAGAGAAGAGGAGAGAAGAGGGGAAGGGAAGGGAAGAGAAGAGAAGAGGGGAAGGGAGAGAGGAGAAGAGAAGAGAAGAGAAGAGAAGAGGGGAGGGAGAGAGGAGAGGAGAAGAGAAGAGAGGAGAGGAGAGGAAAGGAGAAGAGGGGAAGGGAAGAGAAAAGGGGAAGGGAAGAGAAGAGAAGAGGAGAGAAGAGAAGAGAAGAGGGGAAGAGAAGAGAAGAGAAGAGGGGAAGGGAAGGGAAGAGAAGAGAAGAAGGAAAGGGAGAGAGGAGAAGAGAAGAGAAGAGAAGAGAAGAGGGGAAGGGAGAGAGGAGAGGAGAAGAGAAGAGAGGAGAGGAGAGGAAAGGAGAAGAGGGGAAGGGAAGAGAAAAGGGGAAGGGAAGAGAAGAGAAGAGGAGAGAAGAGAAGAGAAGAGGGGAAGGGAAGAGAAGAGAAGAGGGGAAGGGAGAGAGGAGAGGAGAAGAGAAGAGAGGAGAGGAGAGGAGAGGAAAGGAGAAGAGGGGAAGGGAAGAGGTCCTCAATACAACACAGGGTGATCCCAGAATCACACACACACACACACACACCCCGCCGTTGTGCATTGTGGGCTTTGCCTCCGAATCGCGCCTCAAGCTGTCAGCAGCCGTTCAAGGAAGCAGGGAAACCTAGAAGACTTTTTCCTTCAAGCTGAGCCCCGGTGACAAGTAGATAATGAAACATTTCCATAGGGTGCATGGCGGATGGGCACCAGCTCAGAATTCCCTCCGCCAATCCTGGCAATTTCCTGGTTTGTCCAACCAGATGGTGGCTCCTTTCAGAAGATAGAGAAGCGCTAAGCACGGTCCGAAGGATGTTCAAGAATCGGGATTTGTATTTTTGCAGAATGCAAAATGTTGGGAAGTTAGGAAGCGGATCCCAGGCTGGGTTGAATTTAGCAGTTTTGTTTGGGGGGGTGGGGGAAAGAAGTGGGGGTGGGGGGAGAAAGGGGTGTAAAGCTTCGAACGGATCCCCAAGTTTGCCTAGCTGTGTTGTACAGGTGGTTCTTGACTTATAACCGTCCGTTTAGCGACCGACGTTACCCCGGCCCTGAAAAAAGGTGAATTGTGGCCTTTTTTCCAGTTAGAACCATGGCAGCCTCCCCCCCCCCCGGTCACGTGATCAAACTCCCGACGCAACTTAACAACCGCGTTACTAAGTGAACCGCTGCAAGCGATTCTATGGCAAGGCAGGTCGTAAAAAACCGGGCAAAAACTCACTTAACAGAGGTCTCGCTTTGCAACAGAAACTCAGTTGCGGCCGTAAGACGAGGCCCACCCGTTATTTGCAGACAATATTTTCAAGAGAGGGGAAGGGGCCGGGGGGGGGCAGCTTTGAATGCGTCTTGAAGTACGCAAAGGCTGTGTTGCTACGAGCATTTGCGAAGGACGAGAAAGGAAAATAAGAAAAGGTCAGCACGCTGAAAAACATTCCTCATTTTGTTTTTTAAAAAATGCAGCTTTTTGCCACCAGAAATACAAGTAACGTTACCTTTAAAGAAGCCGGAGGAGGAGGAGGAGGAGGAGGAGGAGGAGGAGGAGAAGAAGAAGAAGAAGAAGAAGAAGAAGAAGAAGAAGAAGAAGAAGAAGAAGAAGAAGAAGAAGAAGAAGAAGAAGAAGAAGAAGAAGAAGAAGAAGAAGAAGAAGAAGAAGAAGAAGAAGAAGAAGAAGAAGAAGAAGAAGAAGAAGAAGAAGAAGAAGAAGAAGAAGAAGAAGAAGAAGAAGAAGAAGGACCAACTTCTTCTCAAGACCAACAAGAGGAGGAGGAGAAGAAGAAGAAGAAGAAGAAGAAGAAGAAGAAGAAGAAGAAGAAGAAGAAGAAGAAGAAGAAGAAGAAGAAGAAGAAGAAGAAGAAGAGTTTCAAACAACTGAAGGTCTAAAATTTAGGAGGAGGAGGAGAAGAAGAAGAGGAAGAAGAAGATGATGATGATTAGCGTAGGTTAAAATTGGAAATGGTTTAAACTTCGGCGGAATATTAAAATTGCATTAAGGGTAATTTTGGTTTTTTACTATCAAGCAGAATGTCTCCATGCTTTAGGGAGCACTAAGGATATTTTGATTATGAATCTCGGGTTTTTTTTTTCCCCTCCCTCCCTCCCTCCTTTTCTTTTCAGCTTCTCTTTTGTAATTGAGCTGTTTGGACCGCTATTTTTTTTTCCCCTCTCCCCTTTTTTTCTTTTTTTTTTTCCTTTCACGTTTTCTCTTGCTGGCCCTCTGTCGTCTGGTGCTCCCTGGCTGCTTCTGACTGAAGCTTAATGAGGCGGCTGCAAATTCTACAGGAAAGCGGAGCCCTTCTTTTAAAAATAAAATAAAAATTAAAAAAAAAATCTCCAGATTGGGTTTTTAATTTCCGAAAAGCAATATTGCAAGCCTGGACTCTGCCCCCCCCTCCCCCCAGTGATATTTAGGAGAAATAAACAGACGGCCTTGATGGAGCTGGTTTAGGTTACTGATCAAGGCTCCGTGTTTTATATGCCAATCTTGAAAGAGATTGCAGATTTAAAAAAAAAAAAAAAAAAAACGAAGTGCAGGAAACAGCGACCGAAATGTTTTTTCCCCCTCGTTTAAAAGGTCACTGCAGGGAGACCATAAAAACAGAAATGATGGCTGCCTGTTCAGTTCTGTTTGAAAAAAAAAAACAACACCTGAATTATTTGTGGTACCCACACTGTGGATGGAGACATTAATAAAGCTGCTGGACTCTGCCAGTGATGGGGCGAAATTCTTTTTTTTAATCATGGGATGTTCTACAGTCCTAAAAGTTATAATCATAATGAGCCTGGCTGTTTACCGTCGTAAATTGTATCAGTCCTGACGCACGGTCGACCTGATTTTACGATTTTTTTTTTGTGGCGGTCGTTTAAGCGAACGCAATGGTTGTAAAGCAAATGCAGCCGCAAGTGCAAATCTTGTGGACATTAAGTGAGCACAGCGGTTCTAAGTGCGAACCAACTGACCGGTACGGGAGCGGTTTTGGCAAAAACTGGAAGGAACTGACTGGTTTGGGCAAAACCGTTGTAAAATTCAGTCGGGCGATCGTGGGAAACGTCCAAGAGATATAAATGTGGTTGTGTTGCTGAGCATCTGAAGATTGGTCACGTGACTGGGGGGGAGTAACTGCTGGAACTTCAAATCTGGGTCATAAACAGTGGTGGGATTCAAATCGGTTTGCACCACTTCAGCAGAACCGGTAGCTAATTTTTTGTTGCCCTGGCCCAGAATGGACTTCCGGAAGTGGCATCCATACAGAGAGCTGGTTGTTCACATATTTGAATCCCATCACTCCCTTCCTTCCTTCCTTCCTTCCTTCCTTCCTTCCTTCCTTCCTTCCTTCCTTCCTTCCTTCCTTCCTTCCTTCCTTCCTTCCTTTCTTCCTTCCTATGGTGGGATTCAGCCGGTTTGCACCGCTTCGGCAGAACTGGTAGCTAATTTTTGTTGCCCAGGCCCAGAATGGACTTCCGGAAGTGGCATCCATACAGAGAACCGGTTGTTCTCCTATTTGAATCCCACCACTCCTTCCTTCCTTCCTTCCTTCCTTCCTTCCTTCCTTCCTTCCTTCCTTCCTTCCTTCCTTCCTTCCTTCCTTCCTATGGTGGGATTCAGCCGGTTCACACCACTTCAGCAGAACCAGTAGCTAATTTTTTGTTGCCCTGGCCCAGAATGGACTTCCAGAAGTGGCATCTATGCAGAGAACCGGTGGTTCACGTATTTGAATCCTACCACCGGACATAAATCCCCTTTTTCAGGTAGGTTGTAACTTCAAATGGTTGTTAAGGGACCCGTTGCAAGTCAAGAACTGCCGGTAGAGTGGAAATTCTGGCGACAAATTAGACTTTGAAGCAGGTTGGTCAGGTTAATCTGAGCTGGCCAATCTGCCCTTGCTGATGCCACCATTGTTCTGTAGGAGAGAGGCTAAAAGAAAAATCTGTTTCTGTACTTAGCCATTAAAATCCAATTCTGTTCCCCTCATTCCAGTCTTGAAGAGACACCAGCCTCATTCTAACTTTTTTTTTTAATACTTTTGCTTCCTCAAGAAAAGTGTCTAAATTTCTTGGCTTCTCTTGATCTCTCCAAGCCGCCTTGACTGGTCCAAAATGGACCAGTTCTCCAGGATATGGATGGTATAAGGGCTCCTGCCTTCAGCAGGGGGTTTGATTAGGAGACCTCCAAGGTCACTTCCACCTCTTGGATTCTAGACAAATATGGTTTTGAAAAGAAACGAAAAGAGAGAACACGAAAAAATGAGTTTCAGTAGATTGAGTAATAGCACTTAGCAATTGCACTTAGACATATATATACCGCTTCACGGTGCTTTACAGCCCTCTCTAAGTGGCTTACAGAGTCAGCATATTTGCCCCCTAACAATCTGGGTCCTCATTTTGCCAATCTGGGAAGGATGGAAGGCTGAATCAACCTTAAGCCGGTCAGGATTGAACTGCTGGCATTCAGCAGAATTAGCCTGCAATCCTGCATTCTAACCACTGGGAAGGAAGGAAGGAAGGAAGGAAGGAAGGAAGGAAGGAAGGAAGGAAGGAAGGAAGGAAGGAAGGAAGGAAGGAAGGAAGGAAGGAGCAATAGCACTAGCAATGGCACAAGACTTATATGCCGCTTCACAGTGCTTCATAGCCCTCTCTAAGAGGTTTACAGAGTCAGCTTGTTGTCCCAACAATCTGGGTCCTCAATTTACTGACTTCGGAAGGATGGAAGGCTGAGTCAACCTTAAACTGGTCAGGATTGAACTGCTGGCATTCAGCAGAATTAGCCTGCAATCCTGCATTCTAACCACTGGGAAGAAAGGAAGGAAGGAAGGAAGGAAGGATGGATGGAAGGAAGGAAGGAGGGAAGGAAGGAAGGAAGGAAGGAAGGAAGGAAGGAAGGAAGGAAGGAAGGAAGGAAGGAAGGAAGGAAGGAAGGAAGGAAGGAGGGAGCAATAGCACTAGCAATGGCACTTAAGACTTATATGCCACTTCACAGTGCTTCAGAGCCCTCTAAGTGGTTTACAGAGTCAGCTTGTTGCCCCAACAATCTGGGTCCTCAATTTATCAACCTGGGAAGGATAGAATGCTGAGTCAACCTTGAGCTGGTCAGAATCGAACTGTCGACAGCCGGCTGTCAGCAGAATTAGCCTGCAATACTGCATTCTAACCCCTCTGCCACCACGGCTCCTAATAAGAGTGAAGGTGTTGTGTTGGAATCAACAACAGGCAAATTACAGATGGTTGGTTTGTTGACTTGATGGGTCTTTGACCTTCTTAATTTCCCAAGAAGTTCTGATCCTTTGAAACTTAAGAAGTTTCAATCATGCTTTCTCCACAGGGATTGTCCAGGTCGACCAGAATCTATACATCTTCCTGCTGATCTGTGGACTAAGGAGAGTCAAAGATCCTCTTTATCTACTGGATGTTTTTTCAGGTCAAAATTTTCCCATCCAACCTCTTACAATACATTTGGCATGGATGACCCACCCACCCCCAAAATGGACATCTTTTTGAATGACTGGGAGGTATAATTTGAGGAGGCAGGGGGCCTGGAATGTGACAGATACAGCTGTTGTGTCCATCTGACCATAGTTTGGGTTTTCTACATATTTTTGTGGGTTGATAAGATCATTTGGGGAGGCGAATTCTAGACTTTGCTTTTTTTATGGCCCCACGTGCTATCTCGGTGCTATGAACCGTTATGACCCAGGTGTCCCAAAGGAACTTTTTCAGGAAGCAACTGGACTTTCTTGTTTTCCTTTGAAGATGTTTCGCTTCTCACCCAAGAAGCTTCTTCAGCTCTGATTAGATGATGGGTGAGTGGAAGGATTGATACTCCTTGCAAACCGCTGGTCATTTGCATCCTTTTAGAGAGGCGTTGAGGCCATTTGGGGATTGACCTGTGTCCTCAGGGTCACCTGAGTGGTACAAATGGGGTGGAGCCTTCTTGACTGCAGGATGTTTTCTGCCCTGGGTCCCTTCCCTGTTGTCCCTTCACAGTTGTCTCCTGAAAAAGCCTCTTTGGGACAACCATACCTGGATAACTGAGAATCTCCATAGACATTTATGGCCCAGGTGGTCAAAGCAACGCAGGCCTTTATTGCTCTCAATAAATGCTGGTGGCCCTCCAGTGACCGGTAAAGGTTCCAGCCCCACGCTACCCTGCAGGCAGCCACTCTCAATCCCCCAAATAACAGCCCCCATAGTACAAGGAAGGTCCACAGAGTAGGAGCACGCTCACAGGGCAAGGTCCAGGGTTCCACGTCCAGTCCACAAGGCAGAGTCCAGGCGCAAGGCCAGGCCAGTCCTTGGGGCAAAGAAAAGGCCCAAGACCAGAAGCCGTTCCAAAGGGCTGATGTGCAGGTTCTGAGGTTTTGCTGGTTAAAGAAATACAGGAAACTAGAAGTTGCCTTCAACCTTTACGTGTTTATTCAGCTGAATAGAGATGAACTCCTCTAAATGAGAGAAGCCCCGAATGACAAGAAATCCTTGTATTTATTTTTTCTTAATTACATAAGCAACCCATTCAGCAAAGCTAGATAAGATAAAGATTTCACCCAGTAAGTCTGGCACACTGTAGATAAGAAGGGAGAAAGCAGAAGTAGCTAAACATGTTCCCTTTTGGGTGTCTCCCTAAAGCAGTGGTTCTCAACCTGTGGGTCGGGACCCCATTTGGGGTCGAACGACCATTTCACGGGGGTCGCCAAACAACGCAGTCCGCCATTTTTTCCCCCTTTTCCTTAGCTGTGCTACTCCCTTTTATTCTATTGGCTTTTGAAAGCCAATAGAATAGACTCTCTTGAATAGAGTCTAATTCTATTGGCTTTCAAAAGCCAATAAGGAATTGTCCAGGCTGTCTCTGCCCTGCTGAGCCCGCCAAAAGTCCCATTCTGCAAACGGTGCTGCACCAGTTGAGTAGTCCTCGACTTACGACCGGTTGAGTAGTCCTTGACTTACGACCGGTTGGGGGTTGCGGCATTAAAAAGGTTGAGAACCACTGCCCTAAAGGTATCATATGTTCTCGGGTGGGTTAGGACATTGGGTGTTGTCCTTGCTGTCCTTTCCTGACCCTGCATCCAGGACTCTGCAAGTGACCAGAGAGAGAGAGGTCATCTTTACATATTCACAAGTCCTGGTCATCAGGCCCAGCGAAGCGAAGGCCAAACGCAGTCCACAAGACAAGGCAAGGTCCAAGGCAAAAGGCGAAGAGCCATCTTCCAAGCGAGTCAAACCAAAGTAAACACTTCTTCCTGGCAAAGACCAACTCCCCACGGCTTCTCCTTAAGTCACCCCCCTCCAGGTGTTCCTTGTGAGGAGGGGTCGGGTGACCTCCTCCCGAGTAGCCTTGCAGCCCTTTTTTGAGCTTGCCTATGCTCTGTTCTCCATGCCCTTGGATCAGTGGAGGAGGCAGCTATTCCTCATCAGAGGGGATCTGCTACTTATCAGTGCCACTGTCTGTCAGCAGCCAATCCTCCCTTGTGTCTGTGAAGGCAGGCAGATCTCCATCTGGTTGACCACCTCTCCCAGTGCTTGAGGGCCTGGGACAGCATCATCCTCAGCTCCTGGACTCTCCAAACATGTCAAGGGAAGCGTGCCGTCCTTGTCAAGACGGTCCAGGTTCCAACTCCTTCCGCTGCACCGGGTTCCGATGGGGCCATAACACTAAGAGCTTCTCACAGTCTCTGGTATCTCTCCAAACATGTCAAGGGAAGCGTGCCGTCCTTGTCAAGACGGTCCAGGTTCCAACTCCTTCCGCTGCACCGGGTTCCGATGGGGCCATAACACTAAGAGCTTCTCACAGTCTCTGGTATCTCTCCAAACATGTCAAGGGAAGCGTGCCGTCCTTCTCAAGACGGTCCAGGTTCCAACTCCTTCCGCTGCACCGGGTTCCGATGGGGCCATAACACTAAGAGCTTCTCAGAGTCTCTGGTATCGGTGAGATGGGCAGCAAAATAAATTTAATCGACCAGTTAAAAAATAAATTGAGCCACTTTTCTTTGAGAGCTGAGAACACACAGGGCTCTTGGTTAATAAAGGATTTTAGATAAGACAGATTTTAGATAAGACAGCTGATCATTGCGTTGAAGGAGGTGACTGGGCACCGACGATCATCGTTGACCTATCTCTTTAATTGATCACATTCAATTAAAATTAATTTCATTGGTTGAATGGCCCATTTGCTCATCAGACAACTCTGCATTCTCCAGGTTCATCCATTCATTTGTTCATTTCAAGCAAATGACTCTGGGCACCAAATGTTCCTTAAACAATTAAAAAGAGTTACAGTAGAGGACAAAATTAAATATATAGGACAGCCAAGAAAAAAAAGGTGTCATTATAGGTATCAACGCAGCCAGGAAACAGGGCCCTTCATACTCAGATTGACTCTATGTTGGTGTAGTAAACAGTTTACTAATCAAAGGAGGTATAGATCTTAACTAGTTGGTCATGGAGATTTAGTTAAGAAATTACTCGGACTTCAGATGCTGAGAGAAGCTATGAAATGCCAACAGCTGGTTGAAATATTCAAAAAGGTTCTTTTTTGGCCACATAATCCTCAACCATTTGGGTCCAATGTTTCTGTAGGCATCTGCTGTATCTTCTCACCTCAGCTGGACTACAATAACAACTTGAAACTGCTTCATCCCCCACCATCAAGGCCCATCTGCCACCAGTTATCGTCAGTCAATGTTATCATGCTTTAGTCTCAGATTAAGTTTAGTCTAACCAGAAGTCTCTCCTGTTCAATTGATAGAGTGGCATCAGGAAGACTCCAGGGTACATCTGATCATCGTTGGACCTCCTGTAAGTTCTCTCCATGCCTCATCACCACTATCATGAACTCCATACCCTCATGTTCCTGGTTGTCCTCTCCTTCTCTTTCTTCCTACCTTTCCCAGCATTAAGCTTTTTAAAAAAGAGCCAAGTCTGTGCGTAAGATTTTCCATGTTATTTATTTACTTAGTTGTACCCACCTTTATTATTTTTACTCAAAGCAGCAAATATATCCAACACAACTTTCTCCTCCTATCTTCCCCATAACCACAAGCCTGTAAGATGAGCTGCACTAGGAGAGAGAGACTGGCCCAAGGTCACCCACTTGGCTTTCGTACCTAAGGTGGGACTAGAACTCACAGTCTCCTGAGGATTGGCCCCAGTTGGCTTTAGTGCCTACTGCAGGACTAGAATGCCCAGTCTCCTGGTGACTGGGCCCCAATTGTCTTTCATGCCTAAGGTAGGACTAGAATTCCCAGTCTCCTGGTGACCGGCCCCAGTTGGCTTTCATGCCTAAGGAAGGACTAGAATTCCCAGTCTCCTGGTGACTGGCCCCAATTGTCTTTCATGCCTAAGGTAGGACTAGAATTCCCAGTCTCCTGGTGACTGGCCCCAATTGTCTTTCATGCCTAAGGTAGGACTAGAATTCCCAGTCTCCTGGTGACCGGCCCCAGTTGGCTTTCATGCCTAAGGAAGGACTAGAATTCCCAGTCTCCTGGTGACTGGCCCCAATTGTCTTTCATGCCTAAGGTAGGACTAGAATTCCCAGTCTCCTGTTGACTGGCCCCAATTGTCTTTCATGCCTAAGGTAGGACTAGAATTCCCAGTCTCCTGGTGACTGGCCCCAATTGTCTTTCATGCCTAAGGTAGGACTAGAATTCCCAGTCTCCTGGTGACCGGCCCCAGTTGGCTTTCATGCCTAAGGAAGGACTAGAATTCTCAGTCTCCTGGTGACTGGCCCAAAATCACCCAGCTGGCTTTCGTGCCCAAGGTAGGACTAGAACTCACAGTCTCCTGGTGATTGGCCCAAAGTCATCCACTTGGCTTTTGTGCCTAAGGCAGGACTAGAACTCACAGCCTCCTGGTGACTGGCCCAAAGTCACCCAGTTGGCTTTCGTGCCCAAGGTAGGGCGAGAACTCACAGTCTCCTGGTTTCTCGGCTGGCACTGGACCAGATGGCCTCTCTTAAGATGCCCCAAGTAGGATACCTTTCCTGTTTTATTCCCTTGTTTTGATAAAACTCCACTTTTATTTCCACGTCGAACCCTTTTCTTCCCGCTTGGCTACGGAGCGTATTTCCACCCTGTTAATTGCATCTTTCCGTTCCGGTTCATTGCAAGTTTTGAAAGGGAACTGGCGTGGAAGGGAAGATTGTGTGAAGGTACATCATCTGAATGTGTTCTTTTCCCGACTTCCGATGTCTCCCTGTTTTAGTCGAGACTTCAGGCAGTCGGCTTGTCAATTTTTATTCGCGTCCGTTTCCTCCCAAACGAGTTGTCAAAACTGCCAGAGGGCTCTTGCCAGGATGTTATGCATCTGGGGGGGGGGGAAACTCCCTCAAATTCTCTCTCTTTCTGAGCATAGTCCTGCTTCTCAGGGGCAGGTTGGTTGGTGGACAGGAGGAGGACGTTTTGGAGAAAAACAGGAATAAAAGAGCAACGTTTCAGCCCTCCAATTGGAGCATTAGACCCCAATTACGCTGACATGAATGTTGGCCTGGTGGATGTTTGTTTTTGAAAGGCCCGGTTTTGACAGCCTTCCCCGAAGCAAGCAAGTTCTTCTGACTCCTTTGATTTTATTTTCGCAATCTGGAGCTGAGTTTTCATTTGTGCGTTCCCCTCTTTTTTTTTCTTCCCTGCTGTAGGCTGATCCAGCTTTTGCCAAAGAAGTCGAGGAGAAAGTGAAGAGGTAGGTTTTTGATCTGATACGATAAGGAGATTGTTGGGTTGTTGTTTTTTTCTCCCTGAGGAAACCTGGGTTTATTTTCCTGAATTTCCTACTACACCAACCTTCTCTAATCAGCTCTCCTCCGGAGGTTTGGAAATACAACGTTGAGGGCCTCAGGAATCTTCATGCTACGATCCTTTCTTCCTTCCTTCTTTCCTTCCTTCCTTCCTTGCTTCCTTCCTTCCTTCCTTCCTTCCTTCCTTCCTCTCCTTCCTCTTCCTCTTTCCTCTCCTCTCCCTCCTCTTCCTCTCCTTCTCTCCTTCCTGCCCTTCCTGTCTCCCTCTCTTCCCTCCTTCCTTCCTTCCCTCCTTCCTTCCTTCCCTCTCTCCTTCCTTCATTGCTTGCTTGCTTCCTTCCTTCCTCTCCATTCTCTCCTTCCTCTTCCTCTCCCCTCCTTTTCTTCCTCTCCCTCTCTTCCTCCTGCCCTTCCTTTCTCCCTTTCCTCCCTCCGTCCTTCCTTCCCTCCTTCTTCTTCCTTCCTTCCTCTCCTCCATCCTCTCCCTCCTCTCCTTCTCTCCCTCTCTTTCCTTCTTCCTTTTCCTCCCGCCGTCCTCCTTTCCTTCCTTCCCTCCCTCCCTTCCTTCCTCTCTCCTCTCCTTCCTCTCCCTCCCTTCCTTTCTCCCTCCTTCCCTCCTTCCTTCCCTCCCTCTTTTTTCTTCCTTCCTTCCTTTTCCTCCCTCCCTCCTCCTTCCGTCCTTCCTTCCTCTCTCCTCTTCCTCCCTGCTCTCTTCTCTCCCTCTCCCTCTCCTCCCTCCCTTCTTCTCCTTCCTTCCTTCCTTCCTTCGCCACCCATCACACTCTTCAAAGCAATTCTGGGGGGCTCACAGGGGTTTCAGTTGTCACTGAAATGTTGAGCAACCAAAGAATACTTTGACTGCCCAGTTGCTTGGCGTTTGAGAGAGAGGCCTTTTGGTATCACGCCCATTAGATACGATCAACCTTTCCAGCTCTGAAGCCATGGAAATTTTCCAGGTCCGAAGACATGCCTGCGAAAGGGAACATGTCTTCCTCTGCAGAGAAGTTGGCATCCTGGGATCCCATGTCGACTAGGCCTGCTCATCCTCTAATGAAATCCGCTCTGATGCCGAGAGAGTGGAAAGCGTCACAGTTTCAGATTTAGCTCGCTGGAGAATCTCCCATCGATTTGAATTTGAGGTTACGCAGAAAGCAGACTCAGAAATAGCAGCGTTTAGACGCTTCCGCAGTTGGGTAGAGAAGAGCAATTAAAATGTAATATTCCCTCCTCCCCCGGGAACTGGGAATTGCATTGCAATGTCATCTGGAAGGCTAGGTAAGGCTACATTGGCGTGAGACCAGTTGGTCTTTAAGTCACCTATTCCAATCTTTCCCCAAGAGAGAGAGAGAGAGCAGTGACATCCTGACTAAGCTGACCTTGTCGAAATAGGTTGGATCCACGCTTCAGCTCTTCACATTTGCGGCCCAGCCTCAGGGGAAACCGTCTCAATTCCGTGTCATGCTTCACAACATCCCCGCGAGATTCTCTCCAGGAGACAGCTTAAAAAAAGGGGTGGATAAATAATTAAAATAAATGAAATCACAGTTGACCTCTTCCAAGGACAAGCATTCGGAAATTAAGAACTGTAGGACTCGGTTTAAAACAAAACAAAACAAAAAGTTAACAGCTTCGAGAAAGTTCGGTTGGACATTCCCCCCCAAAAAAACCAACCCAATTTAAACAAAAAACAAAAAAACCAAACCACACATACATTTACACAAAGCTTAAAATCATGGGAGAATTGGCAGTTCTCCCCCAAAACAAGATGCTGATTGTTGATTACTGTTTGCTGAGCTGGCCTACGGGAAGGAATTGCTCCTGTCGCAGGGACTTTCCATAGACCAATTATGGAATATCATCAATCAATCTTATGGAATTCCTTTCCTTTTTTTAAAAAGAGGATGAAACCCAATGGAAACTAATATAGATTAAGAGAAAGAAAGAAAGAAAGAAAGAAAGAAAGAAAGAAAGAAAGAAAGAAAGAAAGAAAGAAAGAAGAGAAAGAAAGAAAAAAAAGGAAGGAAGAAAGAAAGAAAAGCCAGCCTGACAAAGTCTTCTTTAGTGGACTGATCACCAGGGAAAGAAGGAAGGAAGGAAAGAAAGAAAGAAAAAAGAGAAAGAAAAGAAAGGAAGGAAGGAAGGAAAGAAAGAAAAGAAAGGAAGGAAGGAAGAAAAGCCAGCCTGACAAAATCTTCTTTAGTGGACTGATCACCAGGGAAGAAAGAAAGAAAGAAAGAAAGAAAGAAAGAAAGAAAGAAAGAAAGAAAGAAGAAAAGAAAAGAAAGAAAGAAGAAAAGAAAGGAAGGAAGGAAGGAAGAAAAGCCAGCCTGACAAAGTCTTCTTTAGTGGATTGATCACCAGGGAAGGAAGAAAGGAAGGAAGGAAAGAAAGAAAAAAGAGAAAGAAAAGGAAGGAAGGAAGAAAGAAAAGTCAGCCTGACAAAGTCTTCTTTAGTGGATTGATCACCAGGGAAGGAAGGAAGGAAGGAAGGAAAGAAAAAAAAAAGAAAGGAAAGAATGAAAGACCGAACAAGAGTCAAATTAATTTCATTTGCATCACAAAAAGGTCCTCAGTTCTCAGAACAAGGCCAGAGCTTTAGAAACCGCACAATCCTCTTTGTTGTCCATGGGAGAGGAACACACAGGGAACAATCTGATGGAATCCCTTCTCTCTCTTCAGTCCTCGCTATCATGGCCAACGGGCAGGAGGGTGGGAGTTACAGGTAGTCCTCAACTTAAGATCCTTCTTTTAACGACCATTTGATGTCGTGACAGTCAGGACTGGTCTTCTCCCTTAGGACCTTTGCGATATTTCCCACGATCACGTGATTAAAATCCAGATGCTTGGCCACTGGTATGGACATGCAACAGTGGCAGCCTTCTGGGGTCCCGCTGACCACCATTTGCAAGCTTCCCACAAGCAAAGCGAAGAGGGGAAAAGCTGGATGTGCATGGTTTTCTGGATGCCGTCGGGGGGGGGGGAAAGCGTCGTAAATTCAAGCACGACTCGCTTAAGGACCTCCTGCTTAGCCAGGAAACTTCTAGTCCCCATTGTGATAGTAAGGGGAGGGCGTCCCCTGCCGGCCATCCATTGGAAGAGGATTAACAAGCTAAATTTACTCCCTAGGGCAACTGGGGTCCACTTATTGCCAGCCATCCGCCAGGAAGATCTTCATGCCGTTATGGAAAACTGCTTTGCCGTTGTTAACAGTTCTGTATCCGAAGGGATGTCAGCTGCAATTTTAGAGGTAATTCTTTCCTTACTTCCGGGGGGGGGGAGGGAACTGTGTCGGGCATTTCTCTTGGAAACCTCTGCCCTGCTTCTGTTGACATTCCTCAACTCTTAAAAGATGTAGAATATAGAATAATAGGGTGGGAAGGGATCTTGGAGGTCATCTAGTCCAAGCAGGAGACCCTATACCATTTCTGACACGTGGCTGTCCGGTCTCTTCTTAAAAACCTCCAGTGTTGGAGCACCTACAGCTTCTAGTGACCAGCGGTTCCACTGAGTAACAGAATAACTGAGTTGGAAGGGACCTCGGAGGTCATCTAGTCCAACCCCCTGCTCAAGCAGGAGACCCTATGTCATTTCAGTGGCTGCTCAGTCTCTTCTTTAAAACTTCCAGGGTTGGAGAATCCACAACTTCTGGTGGCAAGTGGTTCCATTGACTAATTGTTCTCACTGCCAGGAAATTTCTCCTTAGTTCTTAGTTGCTTCTCTCCTTGATAACTTTCCATCCCTTGCTTCTTGTCCTGCCTTCAGGGGCTTTGGAGAAGAGGCCAATCTGTTTGAACCCCTCAAATATTGGAAGAATGCTATTATGTAACCCCCTAAGTCTTATCTCTGTTAGACTATCCTGTTCTTTCAAACATTCATTATTTAGCCTCCAGACTCCTTATCACCTTCATTGCTTTTCAAACAGGCAAAGCTTTTTTTTTTTTTTTTGGTCAAACAGACAAAGCTGTTTGAACTGTTCTGTGAAATTGACTAATGATGCTGAGGCATTTGCACATCCCTGTTTGGTCTGCTGACTTGGATCCTCATGGAGATTCAGAATACAAACACACATTCACACAGAGGAAGAGAGGGGGAGAGAGAGAGAGAGACAGAGAGAGAGAGAGAGAGAGAGAGAGATGGAGAGTGAAAGAGAGATGGAGAAAGAAAAAGAGGAAGACAGAAAGCAGGAGAGAGATGGAGGGAGGGGGAGAGAGAGATGGAGAGTGAAAGAGAGAGACAGAGAAAGAGAAAGACAGAAAGCGGGAGAGAGACAGAAAGAGATAGAAAGACACAGCGAAAGAGAGAAAGACAGAGACAAGGAGAGAGACAAAGCGGGAGAGAGATGAAGAGAAAGAAAGAGACAGAGAAAGAGAGACACAGAAAGAAGGAGAAAGAGCGGGAGAGAGAGACAGAAAGAAAGAGAGACACAAAGAGACACAGAAAGAGATAGAAAGAGCAGGAGAGAGATGGAGAGAGAGAAAGTAAGATAAAGACAGAGAGAAAGAGAGAGACAGAAAGAGAGAAAGAGAGAGAGAAAGAGTGGGAGAGAGACAGAAAGAAAGAGACACAAAAAGAGAGAGAAACAGACAGAGAAAGAGAGCGGGAGAGAGAGAATGAGACAGAGAGAACAAGAGAGAGAGAGACTGTGACTGCAGAGGGGAAAACACAACTGAAAATTCTGCTGTCTAATAAAGCCCCTGAGTGAAGCCCACCTTGTAGTGTTTAAATCAACCCTATTATTAAAAGTCAGTTCTGATTTAGTCTGGCAATTACAAGCAGGAGAGGCCAATCCACTGCTGATTTATTGGTCTCATCCTCCCCCAGATTATGCGAAACCCGCTAAATAGCTCGCTCCGCTGTGAACACCTCAAAGCTCAAAGGGGTGCCGGGAGAAAAGTTTTTTAAAAAGCAAGAAGAAGAAAACAACTAACAACAAAAAAGAGCAGAGGTTCCCACTTCCTTTTCATGATCTTCAAAAAGGTCAGAAAAAATCTCTTTGGACTTCCTACCAGAGAAGCTTTGGAAGGTTCGGACAAGGTTAAAACCCCTTTGGGCTCGGCTCTCCTCTTTAAACAAGACCCCGAGGAGCGAAGGTGCAGTTTGGAAAAAAGCAATAATGGAGACCACATCGGCAGCCTCAAGATTCTCCTGTGCAAAATTGCAGCTGGAAAAAAAAAAAAAAATTGATGGAAGTCGGCTTTGAAATGCAATTCCTTCCCCCCCACCCCACCCCCTTTCTGTTGACGCTCCAAAGCCTTTAAATTTAGCCCATTCGTTGCTGGATGGTCTGGCCTGAAGTTGTAAAGTTTGTATTCTGGATGTTGTAGCAGCCAAGACGGATTTGAGCTACTTCCACTTTTCTGGTTTATGTTTCCTTTCTTGGGAGATCCAGGCACGGTTCTCCCGAAAGAAGAACAACAAAACGACAGAATAACAAGACTTGAAAGGGACCTTGGAGGTCATCAAGTCCAACCCCCTGCTCAGGCAGGAAACCCTACACCATTTTGGACAAATGGCTGTCCAGTCTCTTCTCGAAAACTTAGCAGTTCCACTGGTTAATTGTTCCCACTCTCAGGAACTTTCTCCTTAGTTCTAGGTTGCTTCTCTCCTTGATTAGTTTCCATCCATTGCTTCTTGTCCTGCCTTCAGGCGCTTTGGAGAAGAGCTTGACTCCCTCTTCTTTGGGGCAATATTGGAAGACTGCTATCATGTCTCTCCCTGGTCCTTCTCTTCACTAGATTAGCCATGTCCAGTTCCTGCAACTGTTCTTCATATGTTTTAGTCCCCTAATTGTCTTTGGTGCTCTTCTCTGCACTCTTTCCAGAGTCTCTACATCTTTTTTTTTTAATTGAAAGTTTATAAAATTTTACAATAAAATACTCCCCCCCTCCCAACCCCCCACCCCCCTCCCCCCTACTTCCCAGAGCTGAATACAGGGTTAAAACCAACAAAAAACATAGAACTTAAATGAACATCAAACAATTATACATACATCCCAAAAACAAAATTTTAAACACTTTAACTCCAGTACCCCGCAATTATTTTTATTAGGTATTGTTATTGATTGTGATGCTAAGGAAGTTATATTGATGTTAAATTTGATTACAGCCGCAAGGCTGTTAGTAGGACAATATTGGAAGAAGGAATCTTTGCCTACTTTACAAGAGTAGTTTTATAAAGTTTCTTATTTGGCGGAAATGGCAAAGATTTCGGCTTTCTTAAAGGAGCAATCTCAAGAGAAATTTTTTGTTGTATGGGAAAAATGGATAAATTTTATACAATATAATTTGGATATGGAAAAATATTATTTAGCTTTTTCATAACTTGTATAGATTGTTTTTTCTTTTCTTTTCCCGTCTTTTGTTTTCTTTCTTTTATCTTTTTTTTCTTTTTCTTTTTCTTTCTCTCTCTCTTTCCTTTCTTTTTTTCTTTCTTTTTTAAGTATTTTTTTTAATGCTTACATATATTTTATTATTAATTATTTTATAAGTTGTAAAAATTTGTTTAGGTATTTTAAAATTTTAAATAAGCCTATATTCAGTTCTGGGAAGTTCGGGGAGGGGGGAGGGAGGGGTGGGTTTGGGAGGGATTGGGTGAGGGTTGATTTGTTTTTGGTTGTTTATTTGTAAAACTTTTAAAAAATTTTCAATAAAAAAAACACTTTAACTCCAGTACATAAAAACAAAAATTACCATCCTTCAACATAAGTTATTCAAAAGCTTACCCTTAAATATACATTATTCAAAAGCTAAATAGTACTTTCTAATATCATATTTATTCTGTATAAAATTCACCCATCTTTTCCACACCAAAATATCTCTCTCTTGCGACTGATCTTTCAGATAAGCCAAAATTTTTGCCATTTCAGATAAATGAGAAACTTTCAGAAACCATTCTTCTAAAGTAGGCAAAAAATCCTTCTTCCAGTATTGCCCAATCAGCAACCTTGCTGCTGTAATTAAATTCAACATTAAAATAATCTCTTTAACAAGTCTCTACATCTTTTTTGTAATATGGTGAGATTAAGGGGTGATGTGAAGATGAAAAGGCCTGCTCCTCTGGGGCTGCAGACTGCAAAATTCGGAAAGGACCAACTCTTAAGCTTCCACGATTTATGAAAAGATCCTGCCCTTTTAAATCCTGTCCAGCCATTGGAGAAGTGAATTAGCATCACAGCTCATAGAACATCTGTAATGTCAATTGCCCAAATCGTTAGCAGGGAGGGAGGGAGGGATTTCTCTTCTTCTGAAGTTTATCAAACAAGAGTTGCCGGATATATATATATTTTTAAATAGGTCTGCCTTCGTTTTTACATTTAATTTTTGCCAAGTTTCTCTTTAGACAATCTGGCTGACTTGGACAATAAAGCAGCCCCATCTCCTTAGAAAGGCCAAAGAAAGCAACTGTGAAGGCAGGGGCTGTTTTAATTGGACCTGGTTCTCCTATCTAAAATGGCCAACAGGCAGAAATGCCATCTGTCCAATGCCTATTTCATTAACCAAGACTGCAGTTTGGCCTGGAAGTAGCCCGAGGGGGTCTGGATGAGGAAAAATAAATAAGTGCTGCTTTGAACCCTTTTGATCAAGAAGGAGAAGAGGGAAGAAAGAATATAGAATGTTTGTATTTGTCCAGCTTCTAGAGAACGAAGGTATCTAAAGCCAGTTGGACAGAAAGTTTGAACATGAGCCGAGAAGAAAGTAATTCTGATAATAATAATAAGGGCGCCTTAGATTCTTGGGGTGTGTGAAAGCCAACACCAGCTAAAGAACTGGCAGTGGTGACTTTGCACGGTGGCGAATCGATGTCAGGACCCAAGAACCAAGAAACACATAGAGTTACTTCTGAGCAAGTTTCTTTTGTGTTCCTCACCTTCAGACAGAATCTTGCCAGTCTAAAGCAACTATTTCCATCACTAAAGATATTCTCTGAGAACTTCTCTGGGTCGTCTATGAGGCAGCCCCTCCCTCCTGGGAATCCAGACTTCATTCCACCACATTAGATAATTTTACAGATAGAAAGTTCGGTCCTTATAATTTGGCCCTGGGGTTTAATATTGGGTCAAGAAGTGAAGGAACAAGGGGGAGAAAAATAAATAAATAAAATCAACTGGCTTCCTCTTGTAGTTTGCTTCTGTCAGCTGTCACATTCTAGTGGTGGCAAACCTATGGCACGTGTGCCAGAGGCGGCACTCAGAGCCCTCTCTGTGGACACGGACGCTGTTGCCCCAGCAGAGTTCGCCAGAGTAGTGAGCACGTGGCGTTTGGAAGTGACGGGGCAGGAAGTGAGCGAGCAAGAGGTGTTGGCCCCTGGGGATGCCCCGGAGATGGTGAGGGACTGGTCCCCATCGCTCTGGTCCCGGCCTGCCAACCCCACCCATGCCCATCCAGTCTGCCATGACCACCTGTGAGGTTAAGTGGAAAACCTTACACACCGCAGCTATGCCCACCCAGCGGCCATGCCCACCCAGTGGGCCACACACACACACACCGCTCTCCCTGAGAGCACCACAACGCTGATGCAGCCCTGGCACTTTGCGATAAATAAGTGGGTTTTGGGTTGCAGTTTGGGCACTCGGTCTCTAAAAGGTTCACCATCACTGTTCTAGTGCATCCAAATTGCAGGTAATTTTAATCACACAGTCACTTTGCTCAAGGAAAGGATAACTGCCTTAAAAGGCCCAGATATTTAGGGCAGTAATTGCGTGCTGCATAATCCATTCAGGTAGGCCTGGCTGGTACAAAGCCAAACGTTTGCCAACTGCCTTCACCATCTGCCTACCAGAGTTTCTGTTGATGTAATAGCAGGGTGTGGGTGTGCATGTATAAAACTAAAGTCCCACAGATTGAGTTAATCTTAATCTTTTTTTTTTTTATTAAGGTCCCTCTTTTCCACAAAAAAGGGATCTCTCTCCCCAAAAGAGCTGCTCATTTCAGCTCCGCCCTCTTGTATTAGTCCTTGACTTACCACAATTCATTTAGTGATGGAACGAAGCGCTGGCGTACGACCGTTTTTCACACTTACGACCTACAGCCTCCACAAGCGGTCAAAATTCACACGCTTGGCCCCTGGCTCATATTTCTGACATTGGCAGTCTTCCGGGGTCATGGGATCACGCTTTTTGTGAGCTTCTGACATGCAAAGTCAGTGGGAAAGCCAGATTCACTTAACAATCGTGTCGCTAATTTAACTCACATCAGAGTTCTCTGCAAGGTCTCAATTGCAGCAAATGTGAGCCCTTTCTTTTCCGTGTAACAGGCAATGGACTTAAATGTTCCCGTGCTGGCAAGGAATATTCCAGGAAATGCTGCCATAATTGTGCACCAAACAACTGGATTATTATACTCGACCCCTCAGGTAATAATTAAGTTGAAATATGTTGCATGCTATGTAGACCTGTCTTTCTGTCTGTCTGTCTCTCTCTCTCTCTCTCTCCCTATCTATCTATCTATCGCTAGTTAGCTAGCTCATCTATCTATTGCTAGTTAGATCTATCTATCTATCTATCTATCTATCTATCTATCTATCTATCTATCATGTATCTATCTATAGCTAGCTAGCTCATCTATCTATCTATCTATCTATCTATCTATCTATCATCTATCTATCTATAGCTAGCTAGCTCATCTATCTATCTATCTATCTATCTATCTATCTATCTATCTCTATCTATCTATCTATCTATCTATCTATCTATAGCTAGCTAGCTCATCTATCTATAGCTAGCTAGTTTATCTATCACTAGCTCTTCTATCTATCTATCTATCTATCTATAGCTCATCTATCTATATTGCTAGTTAGCTATCTCATCTTTCTATCTATAGCTAGCTAGCTAGCTCATCTATAGCTTGGTAGCTCATCTATCTATCTATCTCATCTATCTATAGCTAGCTAGCTCATCTATCCATCTACCTATCTATAGCTATCTATCTATAGCTATCTATAGCTCATCTATCTATGTATCTATTGCTAGTTAGCTATCTCATCTTTCTATCTATCTATCATCTATCTATCTGTAGCTAGCTAGTTCGTCTATCTATCTATCTATCTATCTATCTATCTATCTATCTATCTATCTATCTATCTATCTCCTGAATGATGCTGGATAGGAGAATTAAATAATTTCATATTGGGAGCTGTCCATGACTTATAGTGCTGAAGCCAACTTGGGGGTTAAGCTTTCAATCGAGACCGAATTCTGCCTCTCCTCCCCCCTGGATAGCCTGCAGGATGTGTCACCTCCCAGTTAATTTATAGCTCCACTACCGTAATGAAAACCTTGATCTTATTTGTGTTAAGCTTTTGAACCATTTGTGGCACCCGGGTCACAGCTTCGAAAGTGCCTAAGCACTGAGATTTTAAGTCCTCTGTATGTACCCCATCTCCTAATTAACCAGAGTATGTTATTAAACTCAGAAAGGAGGGTCGGGCAAAAGGGAAAAATTACGGGGGAATTAATCCTGTTGATCCCATAAATTAGATTTCTGTTCCCCATCAATAATCAGGTACGTG